ATGTACATGTAGTGGTTACACAGTCCAATAAATTGTAGTAGCCGTTGATACAATTTATTGGAATTAGGAACCACTACATGTACATGTACATGTAGTGGTACATGTACATGACATCGACATGTAGTTGTACCACTACATGTACATGTAGACGTACCATGTACACTATTCGTGTGTAATTTTTGCTGTGCTTAAAAGCACTTTTGTAAATTTGTTGAAGTAATTAAGTACAAGTATACAAAGCACATAGATTATATTGAAAAGGTACTTGCAAGCAGCATTAAGTACTTAGAAAGCTGTGCTTATTTGTGCTTAAGTACAAGGACCAAGTGCTTGACCCCATGCCTGATTTCAGTTGATTCAAGCAGTGACTGAGTAAGATTAAAGAACTTATATTTTTAAAAACATAGACACATTTATTGACCCAGGTATTTCTGGTGGTGATAATTAAGTGATACGTTGAAGTGAGTGAATTCAATTTCAGTTAATTAAAATACTTACTAATCCATTTCTTCTTAGCAGCCCATTAACAACCTAATAAATAACAATATTTTCTTTTATTTTCATTTTTATTAATAGTTAATAAAAAATTAACTTTTAATATAATAATTATTTTAAAAAATCATAACAATAATAAAATTAATAATTATACAGTTACAAGTATCACTTTCATATCATCAATACCGTATAACGTTTTAATTTGGCGGAGTTTTATTTTGGCGATTGGCGGTTTGCAAGCAGGATCGCCAATATTAAAACTGCCAATCATTAATGCGCATGCTCAGTAATGCACATGTACACAAAAATCGCCAAATTAAAAACCGCCAATTACAATTTTACAGCAAAGTTGCCAAAATAAAGCGCTATACAGTAATACATTAATACATTCTTATGCTATATATTATTCTTATTGTTATTTTCTAATTAATAATAAGTGCATTAATATGTACATGTACATTACACTCGTATTACCTCCAGTAATGTTCCACTGCCCCCAGCGACCACTAGAGCAGCTGTACCGGACGACTGAATGTAATTAATTAATGACTGGATCTGACCTTCATAATCACTCTATCAATAAATAAAATGGGTTAAGTTGAAATCATAATACATTTACAAAAAAAGAAACTTTTAAAATTATTTTGTAAAAATCTGCTTTAAATAAGGTACACTCAACCTGCTTCACACATTTTAGTATCGAAATGTACAACTGTAATAAATCATAAATAAATTACCTCAATAAGTATGATCTCTGTCCCAGATAAGTTAAAAATTGGTGCAGAATATTTCATGAAAAGTTTCTTAGCGTTACTAAAAATAAAAATAAAATAAAATAACAATAATTTGTGTTACATTGATACATATTCATGTTGTTATTATGTACAAAGTTTGAGCTATTTCCGACTTAAATTTTTCGAGTTATGACCATTTTTAAAAAAACTCCAAATTTCGGAAAAGTACCCAAGGTTATAGCCCATGGTTTTTTCTAAAAAATGGCTCCGAAATCACTTCCGATTTTTATTACAATTTCTAATACACATTGATGTCCTTATGCTGTGTAGAAAGTTTGAGGTGATTCCGACTTCAATTTTTCGAGTTATGGCCATTTTTAAGAAAACACCAAAAATCTGAAAAGTACCCAAGGCTATAATAGCCCATGGTTTTTTCCAAAAAATGGCTCCAAAATCACCTCAAATTTTTATTACATTTTCTGATACATATTGATGTCCTTATGCCATGTAGAAAGTTTGAGCTGATTCCGACTTAAATTTTTCGAGTTTTGACCATTTTTTAAAAACGCCAAATTTCTGAAAAATACCCAAGGCTATAGCCCATGGTTTTTTCCAAAAAATGGCTCCAAAATCAACCTAAATTTTTATTACATTTTCTAAAACATATTGATGTCGTTAGTACATACAAATACTAGCCATTAATGTTATTACTTGTATCACATGTATTCAATGCTTTAATATTATGATAAACCTGTTATTGGATTTAGGATTTAGAAAGAGATATATTCTGTCAATTTTATCCATCAATGAAACAGGCTTCTCACTGTATTGCTAAAGAAAGAAAAAATAGGTTAATAATAATAATAATAATCTCAATACAAAAAATAATATGCAACAACAAAATAAAATAAAATAAAATAATAATAATAATAACATAAAGTACTTTTGCCTCTAAACAATATGAACGTGTAATTGCTGCTTCCCTGCATAAAAATAATTTTAAATAAAATAATAAATGATTTATTTACCTGTATCTCTTAGCTCCCCATCTGCTCCCTAGCCACGTACCAAAGAATATTCCATAAATTTTCCAGTTTCTTTTAAAATGTCTCCATGCAGCAGCCATGCTGAATCCGTATAACTCCGTTCACGTTTGATAGGTTACGCCCACGCACCAGCCCCACCCATTTGTTGTGCAAAGAAGAGGGGGCGTAGCTGGTAAACATGGAACCTGCAACAAAGTAAACTTGATTTGTTTTATTTCTTTTATTAGCATTATAATCAGAAAGGATGCTGGTACAGCATGCTTTAAAAAGCTTTAGGAAACCAAAACTGTTACTATTATATACTGAGTTTACTGCTTTATAGTTTTAATGTTGCTCGAAGTCAAATATGCAATAGCTTGTTTGGTTGCATTACCTCATTGCATGCTTAGCATTCGCTTATTAAGCCAATGGAATGATCTGTGATTAAAGTTGACATGTAATAAAAGTACAGTATAGCCTTCTTTATAGCATACACCTCCATTTAACGGACAGCACCTAGTGTACCAATTACATTCCTTACTGTATAAAATAACCTCCACATAAAGGACACCTCTGTATAACAGAGACACTTTCTTGCCCCAAAGTGTCCATTATAAAGAGACTGCACTACAGTTAAATATTAAAACCTTAAATTCTATTTTTTTAATCTAGTGTGGTCCAGCAGAGTAATCCAATCGGTATATACGGCTGGAGGAAAAGGTGTCTGTACTGCTTCATAGGCTTACTAGCAATAATAATAATAATAAACATATCACTGACAGTGTGGATACTAGTGGTCCTCAGATTCAATATAGTAAGGAAAAGAATATATGATAGTGTATAATAGTAATAGTAGAATAAAATTGATATACCATTGATTGTAACGGAGATACATTTCCTACATATGAATCCATGCATTATTGAGGTAATGTGTTGTTTAATTGCATCAAAGGTCACAGCCACCGGAAAATAACAGTCTTACAAGGCAATTGAAGGCATCAGTTTGCATCAATGCCCTCAGGCTCTGCATGAACTGATTCTGATTACATATTAGCATCATGAGCTGATTCTGATTACATATTAGTATCATGAGCTGTTAGTATCCTGATTATGATTACATGTTATGCAATATGATGGAGCTATTACTCACCTGTTTGTTTGCACTGCCAACATTTGAGCTCATCAATTAGACTTTATTCATTAATAATTGATGACAGCACCTGATGAGTAGTGATGAATTACTAGTATAATCATAATCACTAATAATCATATTTTACTTACACAAATAAATATTATTTTATTTAAACTACCACCACTGTACTCCTATAATTGTACTACTAATAAACTGATAAAGTCTGTTTTATAGTACTAATGCAAATCTGTGGGTTGAACTAAATCTGCATTCTGTACAAAATACCTACATACCTTACTACCAATATAATTATTTTACTACATTACTACAGATGCTATAGTAGCATTAAGTATAGCAGTATTAAGTTATTTTTTTTTCTTCTTATTTTTAGCTCACTTGCTACCAATTAGACAAAGCTGCCTAATTAAAATAGTACTGGCCCATGCAGTTAAATCATAAGTGCAAACTTAGCAGTATTTACCTCAAAAATTGTTATTAGCTATGCTCTTTTGTTGAATTTAAATTTTGTGCATTAATTTTGTGTCATTTCAATGACACTTGATGACACTAACATTACATAGTTGCAATGACGTACAACTTACACTCTTACTTCACTACTTAAATTTTAAAATATTAATAACAAGTAATCAGTTAGGACTTTAATATTCAACTATTTCCTTTCCATTTCCTTTTCCTTTTCCTCCTCCTCTCTCTTTCTCCACTGAACAGGATGGTATGGGTAGTGTCAGAGTAACTGATACAGGACTTCAGGTTAATGGAGAGACAGAATTACTGGGGACACTGTACACTGACATGATCACAGGAAATGAGGTAAGGATGCACTTTTTAAATTTAGCTTCTTATCAAAACATAACAGCATCCTTTTAAATTGTACTTTACTTATGGGCGATTATCTACATTACTCAATGATTGAATGTAGTTTTATTCATTGTCCTTTCATTTTTATTATCTACAGTATTCATTCCATTGTTGATTTTATATTGCACTCAATGAAAAGGTCGATCATGATCATTATGACGCTTTAAAAGCAATAATATTATATTAACTTTTGTACATAAATATATCAATTTTATAAATAGCCACACTAGCATGTTAATAAATAAATGGTATAGGAAAGAGTTTTTAAATTTATATTTGCTTGTTACTAATGTACATGTATATGTACACATTATTATCTGTTGAAAATGTAATTATTATAATTATTGTTATAGTGACATTAGTTTATTTTTGTACTAATATAGGATGGTCCAGTTCATGTTCAAGGTGCAGCTGACGTGTCGTTATCTGTTGGTGATAACAGTGTCAAAGTTGATTCGAATCATGTTAAGATCACGTCATCAAACTTTAGTGTACAAGATACCAAAGGGTAATTAAATAACAATGTCATCATTATTATTATTATTATTATTATTATTATTATTATTATTATTATTATTATTATAGACAATATTAATTAAAATTTTTTTCTGGGCTTAAAATTTTGTGTATGCATTTGCTCTTTGTCCTTACATATTACAAGCTACAATAAATTGATCGTCATAATTTCATTTTTACATTATTTTGTATAGGTCTGAACTATTAGCAGTTATTTCAAATAATTCAAGCACCAAAACGACGACAATCAATTCGAATACAATATCAGTGACAAGAGAAATGTCCGTAGAGAACTTAATACAGACTCCACAGATAATCTCACATGAAGATTTGGTTCTCGTATCTGAACGGAATGAGTTACGGGTGCATGGGAATGAGTCCTTGTTGCTGGAGGCTACCAATAGAGCTATTGATATACAGGCAGGAGGAAGGGGAGAGGGAGAAGGTGGTGGTAACATTACACTAACAGCAAATGAAGGAATGGTAAGATATTAATGATTGTATCAGTACAGTATAGTCTCTCTTAATGAACACTCTCTATAGCGTACACCTCCATTTAACGGACAGCACCTAGTGTACCAATTACATTCCTTACTGTATAAAATAACCTCCACATAAAGGACACTTCTGTGTAACAGAGACACTTTTTTGCCCCAAAGTGTCCATTATATAGAGGCTACACTGTACTTATATTCAGACATGCACATGTATAAGCAATACAGTAATAAATGAATGGTCATATCATATGTACAATTAACATAGATGTACATGTACATACATGTTCATGTACACATATTAAGGCACTGAAGCATATAGTTGCGTACAAATAAGCTTTGACCTGATGGGAATGTATTAAGAGAAGGAGGAAGATATGCTTAAGAGAATAAAGGGAAATGTGTCATCATGAAAAGAAGGAAGGAGACACACACAGAGAGAAGGAGAGAAGGATAGAGACAGGATGTGTGTGTGTGTGTGACTGTATGTGTGTGTGTGAAATTTAAAAGAATGACGAAGAGTCTAACAGTACAACATTCAAGGTCAAAGACATATCATCATAATCAAATATTTATGCGTAGTCATGTGCTTCATAATTAGATCAATTACAACAACTGTTAAATAGTTTAACAGTACTATAGGAAATGATACTATGTAATGTATGTGTATGTGATTAACAAAGTAACTGTTACTATGGAGAATTGGCAATAAGAGGAAGGTGATTAGTAATGACACTGTGGTTACTATAGTGATCAGTCCTTGTGTACACAGCACGAAAGTTAACCTTTGAACTTACTGCTAGTCATTAAGAGTTTGTACTGGCTCATGTAGCATCTACGATTTACTGAAATTAATGCGTGTGTGTCTCTCTGTCAGTCACACAGTACATGTGCATATTTGTACTCATTTCTATAGTAAAGTTTGAGGTCTGGACTACTATTATATGATGATCTCTGGGTCCAAAATTTTTGGGAAACAGCAAAAGATTGTGATAAGAATCAAACTTTCTACATAGCATAAGTATATCAATGTGCATCAAAAAATGCATTTTAAAAATGGGGGTGATTTTGGTGTCATTTTTTGGGAAAAAGCATAGGCTTAGAATATCAGCTTTATGACCATTTTTATACTGGTTTTAGGCTTTATATTAAAGCATAGGCATAGTCTCTGGTATCTTTTAGAAATTTTGAGCTTAAAAATGGTCATAGCTTGACAAATTTATGTCCGAATCAGCTCAAAATTTCTTCATAGCATAAAGACATATTAAGGAATGTAACAGACAAAAACAAGGTCATGAACATGAAGTGGAAGAGAAAGCACTATTTAGTATTAAAAATACAATTATTGATAATAATCATGTAATATAATATAACAAATCTAACTACTATCAAGTATGATCGACATATGATGGAAAGTCAAATTACAAATTAAACATTAATATTTGATAACCCCCAACCTGTGTATACACGCATTACACTTGTCACTAATCAACCCCACACTCACATCAAGATATCATATCAATATTATAGTCATATTAACCTCACACAATATATTATATATATAATATTAAATTATATTATCATGACATTGCATCCCCATGACATTTATTAGTACACAGTATGTGTGTGTTAACAGAATGATCTCATTTTAAAATGAAATTATAGGAGTACTATGGGGTATAGTAATAATAATATTTCAATTTTAAAAGTGACATTGTTTATGGTCAATGAGCAATATCATAAATAAGTGATGCTTTTTTCTGACCTTTCCCTCCCATAATGTATATAATGTAGAGGGGAAGGGAGAGAGAGAGAGAGAGAGAGGGAGAGAGAGAGAGGACAGGAGAGGGGAGAAAGGAGTGATATGACCAGATCTAAAGTTATAAGAACAGTCATTATTCATACAAGTACAATGCTTCAGTTTGAATCAGCCTCTACACTATCAGCCACATCACTACCTTATGTACCATTAATGCTGTTTTTATTTATCTCTAGATTGAGCTCATCAGTGATAACTTGGTACTTAAGAACCTCCCGCTCTCAGTTCCAATTAATGGAGGAAGACAATGGGATGAGGTTTATCACTTGTGTATCTGTGGAAATGGACGACTCTATCGTGTGATGGCCGTTGAAGGAAGCAGCTGCAGCAATAGCAGTTCAACAATTTGCCTTTGAAACAATTTTTTTTAAAACAAGACAAACAAAATAGACAAACAAAAGCAAAAAGAGTTTGTTTACAACTATACACAAATAAGAGACATTTTATGACTGTTACTTTGATTTGATGATATTTAAGGACACAAAAAATAAATAAATTTTAAGGGATAACAGCACAAAAAAATATAACAACAAATAACTGAAGTTGTGAATAATATGCCAACAAAGCAAGTGAATATTAATGATGCCAAGCAATCATTGGGTGCATGAAATAATAAATAAATAACAAGCAAACAAATAAATAATACATAAAATAATAAACAAATAATAAGTAAACAACAAAATAATACATAAAACAATTAATAATAACCTAGCTAATACATGCATCACACCTGAGACTTCTTTTTTATTTGTTTTTCCCACATTTTAAAACTTTTTTTTTCTTTTTTAATTTTTATAATTTTTATTGCATTCTAGTTATTTTTTAATTTTTAAACTTTTTTTGCTTTTTTCTATTTTTATAATTTTTTTGTTTTTTAGCTATTTTTTTCCTAACTCCACAAGTGCGTGTGTGTTTGTGTGCAGTGTATGTTCCATACACATAAAGTCACTTCCTTTTAGGGTCACTGGCTCGGCTGGTTTCCTCCAGCCTCCTCAAAATCCTGATCTGGGCACGCCTCCTACTCTCCATCCTCTGACGAAACCTCTCAACCCTTTCGGCAGTAGCTGGGGCAAAGAACAAGGAGCTAACTTCATCATCGTCAAAGTCACGGTTAGGAGGGGCAAAGCGCCTGGGCCTGTCTTCAAGACGGGAAGGTTCAGCTCTGATACCATAGTCACGATTAGGAGGATCACGTACACCAGGGATTGTGGGAACAATTGGCCTGGGCCTGTCTTCAAGACGGGAAGGTTCAGCCCTGACAACATTGTCACGATTATGAGGAACAGGTACACCAGGGATTATGGTAACAATTGGCCTGGGTCTTTCTTCAAGTCGAAGAGGTTCAGCTCTGATACCATAGCCAGGAGGATCACGCAGATCAGGGATCGTGGGAACAATTGGCCTGGGTCTTTGTTCAAGTTGAGGCGGCTCGGCTCCAACGCTCATCGCTCCTTCGCCCGATGGAGACGAGTCCCTTTGAGCTGGTTGGCCAGGACGACGTATCTTGATTTCTTTCTTACGAGGCTTGGCTCCGGCGCTCGCTGCTCCTTCGCCCGATGGAGACGAGTCCTTCTGGGCTGGTTTGCTAGGGCGGCGTAATGTGCTTTCTTTCCTGCGGGGGGAACTTGGTCGAGGGAGAAGTGTCATTCTCTCGCCTTCGACTGACAAAGAACCACGGCGAGATCCGGAACCACGCCTAGTGAGTCGTTTCATGCGACGAACTTGAGATGGAATGAAACGCCCGTCACTAGCACTAGGAGTAGCAGAAGGTATTTCAGGAAGGTAGATATTGGAGAGTGCGGATTCTTTTTCTTTCTTGTCAATGGTAGCTGGTTTCTTTTTCATTGCTGAAGACGGGACGGCGTCTTCTCCCTCAATCTTCTTCTTCTCAATGATCAATGGAAGATGGGGCCCATCGTCTTTGACATTGGCCTTTTTGTCGTCAATTTTAAAATGAATGGTCTTGCCGCGTCGGCTCTCCTCGCTTCCGAAAGAAGACGTGCCTCCTTTCTTGACCGCATCTGGTTTAACAATTGTCTCGGACAATATTTTCTTGGTAAAATCAACGGTGATGAGTTTTTCCTCGTCCTCCTTCTCAGCCGAGCCCCTCCTCTTTGTAGCGGCATGGGGTTTGCTTTTCTTAGGGCTTGGAGGAGGGATTATAATAGCCCCTTCATCATCATCGCTCTCATCATCATCAAGAATGAGGTCGCATGTGATCAACTCGCCAGTTATCTCGTCCTCTGTGGTTATGGTCAGTTTGGGAATACGAGTGTAAATAGTGATGGAAGGAAGGATGGTTTCTCCGGCCTCCTCCTCAAGGAAATCCATAAAATCATCATCATCGTCATCCTCAATATCATCAACGCTCTCACCGAGCTCCTCCCTCCTCTTCCTTTCCTTTTCCTTCTCCTCGGCCTTCTTGATCTTCTTGTCCCAGAAATCTTTATTAGAATTGATGTTATTTATCATCAGCCTAGACAGGTCGGACTGGACGAGCTTGCCCCAAGCATTGTACAGGGGCAGGGCGCAGAATTGAAAGAACCCGGACTGAGCGTTGGGTATTTTGGTGGTCTTACGGTCGCAGAGGTAAGAGATTGGGAGGTCCGAGGACTTCTCGAGGTCGCCCTGCTGGAAAAACTCTTCCATTATCTTGAAGCTCCATTGGCGGGAGAGTCTGAGCATGCGGGCAGGGTTGCTGATGTCAGCAGCTTTGATGGCAATCTAGAAAGAGAGAGGAGAAAGGATTAAATAAATGCTAAAAATAGTAACGTCACTAAATATAAATAATGTGAATATTTTTAGCATAGCAACATGATAATTAATGTTATAATTGTATGCATAATGACACGGTTCTAGTTACTATTAAAATTTCCCCTTTCCTTCCTCAAGGAATGGAATGCTACATTGAAACCAATTACTAACATACATGCATGTACATGTACATACATAAATACATTTACTGTACATGTATGTGAACTTACCATCAGTGCAAACTGCCTGTCATAAGTATCGCTAAGGTCAATGCCTTTTTCAGTGGACAGCATAGTCTCAAATTTAGCCAAGAAGTCCTTATGCTTGTTGACATCAGTAGCAAGGATGAGGTCCTCCATAAGACTCATGATGGTGTCTTTCTCTGGGAGGTGATCCAGGAGTCCTGTTTCATACAGAAGGGCCCTGGTAGAGTGGCAATGGTGCCTCTCAAGGAGACTGGTTGTCTATAAAGGATGATGGGGAAATGGTATGGTAAGTATTAGTAGTATAAGAGATATACATGGATATTATTATAGTATTAGGAAGACATGTAGTGGAAGCTATCAATGGGGAAGGCCCAAGATAAGAGATGGTCAAACATTGGAAAGATCAAGGAAAGAAAAGGTGAAAAGGTTACCCCTATCAGACCAATATATACATGTATATGTACTATTGCTATTGTTGATATTACTTTCATATTAAACTATCAGTTACATGTACAAGTTAAGATAGCACAATTATTATTATTATTATTATTATTATTATTATTATTATTATTATTATTATTATTATTATTGTTATTAGTATTAGTATTTAACATACCCCGTGTATAGCTGTGAGGTAGCTTCCAGAGTTGACAAGATAGTTATGATTGACGCCGGGATGATCAAGATCATGACAAAGAGAAGCAAGAAATGTGGCCAATATCTCAACAGAAGTCATTTTGCTATACATCTAAAGAATAAAAGAAACAATAATATCAATATACCAATGAATAGATGACGCAACTTGGAGTCATAATAAAATTATTATTAGCCATAAAAAGTAATGTAATGTCACTGATATTGTGCAACATTGAAATAATATCACAGACACACAAATAATGTAATAATAATAATAATAATAAAATTAATATTATAAACTCACCACAGGGTCTAGGACGATGCAATGAAGAGCCTGGGTCACGTCAGCAGCATGATAAGAGTTGTGGTAGGAATTCTCGGGATGGTAGAATCCTTCAACTTGAGTCAAGAACTTGTACAATTTAAGCGAATCCAAATTGAATATTTCCGGCAAGTTGTGCCTTTGGAAAATGTTCATGCCAACGTGAAACAATGGGCGTCCTAGAGAAATAAAATATATAATAATAATACTATAATAATAATAATAATAACTGAGGAATTGATATTCAAATAGTGATATTAATGCATGAATAGTCGCAATTAACAAGTGCAAGTGGTGAAATCTCCTGCTAATTGTATGTTAATTACAACACAATCCATATCTACTAAAAATCAATTATCTTTTCATAAGCTTGCGAGCCGCTAAATCACTCAATTCCGATACAAACAACACCACAAAACACTAGGCAGCTGGTATGACAAAGAGAAGGCTGGAGAGAGTTTACATATGTACACAAAAGCACTTGACAGCTTTGAAAGAGCCGTAGCTGAATATAGCCTGCACGTGTGTTTACATTACATGTACATGTGTACACTAAGTAAATGCAGCAGCTAATTTTCAAGTCTGTCAGGCCTCTACTTTATAAAGGACATACCTTCAGCAAGACGGCCAAAAGCAAAAACATCAAAGTCCCAAGAGTCTATGTTCCTTAGAATATTCTGTAGAAGAGAGAGAGAGAGGGGGGGGATTAAATAATGAAATATTAATAATAACATTTGGCAGTGACTTAGTAGGAAGTGGTTTAAAAATACAATAATAATAATATAATATAATAGTATCATGTGTGTACTGTACATGTAATAGCAGCTAAGGAGCATGATAGGAATATAATAGGTTTCAATTCCTTGTTTAATGAGGCTACAATAAATACATTATTAAGAGCCATTATATACATGTACATGCATTGATTCAACTAATAATTGTGTACAGCTATTATCATTATTATCATTATTACTATTATTATTATCATTATTACTATTATTATTATCATTATTACTATTATTATTATTATTATTATTATCATACCGCCCACTTACATTGGCAGTAGGGCTGAGATGGAAAGAACAGTTAGTAATACCAACGGAGTCAATGACAGATCCACGTATCTTGTCCTTGTAGACGGAAGAGGCTGTAGTGTGAAGGAGCGAGCCTCGGCGGTAATGAGCACGGGACTTTGGGCTCAAGGATAAATCAAGAGCTATGGGGGAGAGAGAGAGAGATGATAAAATCCAATTTTTGCACTTTCTACTGAAGTGTGACGTATACACAATGAGATTATGCAGTTTGCTTTGATGTGGGATTGCAGTGGCATCAAACAAAACAATGTTTAAAACTTGCTATTATCATTATTTCTTATTGCTATCTTCACTTACTGTCGTTGGGAAGGGATGGGAGCCTTCCATGAACGATAGACGGGTACCTCACGTTACGAGTTGCAATAGCTTCAACTGCAAGAAAAAAGAGAAAACCAACGTTATTTCGCATCGGACTGCAGTAGAGTGCAATAACTTACCAAGATACCTTATGTACATGGCTGAAGCATCATTCGGGCCGTAGCTGATTGCACCTCGTCTCCTCATCCTTGGACGAGAGTGATATGGAGGAACAGCTTCGTCCTCTGTCTGGCCATTCTCCCCGCTGCTGATGGCGAGCCGTCTCCTCAGAACAACGGGAGAGAGGCATCTGTCAACAGGTAGATGGGGGAGCTCTGGAAGCGAGCTAACAGGAGAGACATATGGAGAAGGCATGGGAGACACCTCCGGAGAGTTGTCTTGAGAATTGGCTGGGGTTGGGGGCTGGGAACCGCTGGAAGAACCATCGGGATCCAAGTTATCCATGTCAAGATAGCTCGCAAGCAAAGAGGCTGTGGAGCTAGGTGACGGACGGAAATATGGCGAAAGTAGCATCGCGGCCATGACTTTTATACAACAGCAAAGAAGACTTTCTTGCAGAGATTCTCTATGAGCAAGTAGGCCCTGGTCCATTCCTTTTATACACATTTCTGCAAAAAAAGTTGGTTTAACCGGATCACGATGACGTAAACTACGTCACAATGAGCCATGTCATAATGGCATCTATTATCTCGACTCTGTTCATCTTAGCCTGGCTCTCAAGCCTTGGGTATAGTCTATTTGTGTGTCCCGAGGTCTGTCATTGTTCAGAACCTGCTAGGATAGTGGATTGCTCTTCGTCAGGGCTATCATTTGTGCCTAAAGTGCAAGATAATACTTTGAGATTGTAAGTTCCATAATTAAAATGGGCGGGGCTCATTAATGCAGCAGCAATAAGTGGGTGTGGCTCAGTTCTATAATAATGTATTTTAAATTAAAACTGCCTAATATATAAATCATTAATGTGACGGCTGACGATATAACTATGTCGTTGTAAATTCTCGTTTTATAATATCCGAGCATTAAATAATTGGTTTTAATTAAGATTAACGAGGAGATCAAGTGAATGTAGACTTGACGCTTCATTTAAGATCAAGTATTTGTTGATTGATCATAAGATGATAATTGGCACCTTGTGAAATTGGTGTCACATATCTCACATATGTCTTCTCCCTCTCCCTCCCTCTCTCTCTCTCTCTCTCTCTCTCCCTCTCTCTCTCTCTCTCTCCCTCTCTCTCTCTCTCTCCTTTTATTAGATACTTGGGCGACAACGATATTGCTAATCTTACTTCTCTCTCCTTCTCAAAACTGCACAAGTTAACGTACCTGTACGCCAATCCCATACACACGCACAATACAATATTTACATGTACATGTACATCAGAGTAAAGTAGTAACAATTATAGTACTATACCAATTAATTGTAACAAATAAGTACATTTACCAGGTACATGTACGCATTAAAATTCCATAAAGATGATTATTAATTACTGTACTAATACAATAATGACTCATACTATATGATAATACAGTTTTTATTTGTAAACCTGCTAGTTGTTTTGTGAAAGTTTAGTAATTGTTATCGTTTCTGTTCTACCAGTGACCATTGGTACCTTGGCGACCTTGAGATTAGCATGGACGAGGACTATGTAGTCAAGTGTAGCGTCTTTTAGTTTGGCGATTAAAATTTCGACTCGCTAGGTAAAAATATTGCAAACCCATCAAATGTTTTTAGCTACATACATGTAGAAACAGGTAACAGTGCTTAGATTGATATACAACGTAGACGTAAAACAATATCTATAAGCATATGTGACAGAAGGACATGATAGTTAAACATGGAATTCCTTATAAGTACAAGAGCAGGTCTACATCCATGCACTGTATAGGTACGACTGTTTTTCTATTAAAATTTGTTTTTTCTTTCTTTAAAAAACTGTTTTTGTCACACCCCAAAAATGGACATTCCGGATACAGTGTCCCAAATAAGTCCAAACAACCTTTAGGGTGAGATCTTGGCCCATTAGCACTAAAACTTGATTTTATCCACGAAATTCCTCAACCATTTAAGGGCAAAGAAAAAATTTCCCTGAGGACGAATAAATCGATACATTCTATCGACATTCGGCAGGTAGTTAGCACTGAAACATTATTCAGCTGCTGTAAAGAAGCTGGTAATGACTGAATCAGGTGCTAATACCAGCTGAACCTCAAACTTGAACTACTGTACACAGCAATCAGAGTCACGCACCACTTGTGCTTGTACACAGAAAAACACACTGTTTACATTTCAACCAGTAGTTATGCACAGTCAGGGAGGCTTGATGGGTTTAGTGGCATAAAGTGCATGCAGTTTTAAAAATGAATTTTTTGATGGGAATTTTAGTACTGTTGTTGTTGTTGGTTGTGGCAATGATAGAGATATGTCCCTTTTAGTCCCTCCCCCTCCTCTTTCTCTATTGTATTATCTACTCTCTCTCTCTCCTCATCACTTGTACATTAATGTAAAATCAAACCTCTGGGCACTTTGGGACCCAATAATACCCTAGCTCCTAATTATGAACCTGTTCTTATTTCAGAGGTTCATTAATACACATTACTATTGTATTGGGAGTTTTGGGACTGATACTACCTGTCCTCATTATAGAGGTGTCCTTATTTTAGAGTGTCCACAATAGGAGGAGGTTATTCTAGGTACATGTACTAAAGTATCATTGTTATTTTGATGGATGCTGTTACATTGCGCCTTGCAAAAGCTTAAGAGAGTGAAAATAAAAAATAATAAACTGTAAAAGTGCATGTACATGTTTTAGAGAAAGAGAGAGAGAGAGGGAGGGAGAAAGAGAGGGAGGGAGAAAGAGAGGGAGAGAGAGGGAGGGAGAGAGAGAGGGAGAGAGAGAGAGAGAGAGAGAAAGAGAAAGAGAGAGGGGGGAGAGAGGGAGGGAGAGAGAGGGAGGGAGAGAAAGAATAAAAAAAGAGCGAGACCACAAACTAATTCATTTCATTGAAATGTAATACCACTGTGTGATATAAAAACAAGTAATACTACATAATACATATACATGTACATGTACATGTATACATGTATTATGTATGTGAATACAAAGGACTAACCTTTGTTGTAGTATTTCCCAATTAATGGTCACATGTTTGTGGTTCTCTTTAAAGGATTATATCAAACAACAGGATCAGCCACATAACAGAGGATACCTTTCATGGGCTTACGTCATTGAAATATCTGTAAGTAACAATAATAATAATAATAATAATAATAATAAATATACATGTACATGTACGTGTACGTGAGGTGTGAGGTGGAATGAAAGGTTTGAGGTGTTAAAAGTAATGGCATACATGTATACAGTATAGTCTCTCTTAATGGACACTCTCTATAGTGTACACCTCCATTTAACGGACAGCACCTAGTGTACCAATTACATTCCTTACTGTATAAAATAACCTCCACATAAAGGACACTTCTGTATAACAGAGACACTTTCTTGACCCAGTGTCCATTATATAGAGGCTACAGAGATATCAGCTCGAGGTAAAGCTGAGGGCAGATATAAAGGGACACTGGTATAACAATACGTTACATGTACATGTACATGTACATGTAGATACATGTAGATACAATTCATGTAATACATATTGATGTGTGCTGGCAGGTTGGTACATATACATTAATATACATGTAATTATGAAACAGCTAGTGCAAAGTGAAGCCTTTGACTGTGTTAAATTTTAAAATTAAATTACCGGTATTATGATGAATTGATAATACATGTACATATACATGTACTTAAAAACGACGTATGTTTGTATCAGCTAGTGTATGGGTAAGACCCTGTAATTTAGCGTCAATATAAACAAAATACGGATATAATTAATTGCTCTAATTCATGTTTTCTATACAAATTCGTGTCATTTTCAAAACATCTTCTACCGTTCCAAGGAAAAATATAATATTTTAGACATTTATTATTGTAATTTTAAGATTTTAATTTGAAGCCAATTTAATAAAGATTAATCTACATGTACAAGTGTATGTGTTTTTGGAAAAAATAAGTGAAATTCTTGGAATGTTTTTACAGCATATTTCATCTAATCATACATGTACATATACATGTACATGTACATGTATATGTACATGTACGTGCATACCGCTGCTTTGATGATGTACATGTAGATGTACTTAATTAATAATAATAACTGTGTTTAAGGAAACATGGACTCAATATGATGTTGATATAGGTAAGTGTATACATGTAAATGTATACCTACTTGTGTAACACTTTGGGACAAGAAAGGGAAAGTGTCTCTGTTATACAGAGGTGTCCTTTATGTGGAGGTTATTTTATACAGTAAGGAATGTAATTGGTATACTAGGTGCTGTCCATTAAATGGAGATGTACGCTATAGAGAGTGTCCATTAAGCTATGTACTCCATCTTTTAAAATTAGTTTTAAAGATTTGTAATTTTGCTAAATATGTATTGTTAAACAAGCTTCATTCCTATTCTCTTGGCAGTCTATCCTTCTTTTGTTGTTATTGCAATTTCTGTGTCACTCCCTAATGCAGTGCAACCTGCTTTAACGCCTTTTTGAGACAATTGTATTTTAATTTTAATTTTATTATTCTCAATAATCATGTCTAGCCTACTACAGATGCTATGTCTATTATTCATCATTAGTATTACTAATATATTATTATTATTAATTTTAGTATTATAATAATAGTAGTATTATTGTCATTCTAAGTGGAGTAGAATTCATGTACTTTTTATAAGCTAAGGATGTGTAATTGTTAGAATTCCACATGTCCATGCAGGCATCTCTCTCTCTCTCTCTCTCTCTCTCCCTCCCTCCCTCCCTCCCTCCCTCCCTCCCTCCCTCCCTCCCTCTCTCTCTCCCTCCTTCCCTCTCTCTCCCTCTCCCTCTCCCTCCCTCCCTTCCTCTCTCTCCCATAGCATCATAAAGCATCATAATAAACTCACACACTTGTACATACACAAACACAGAGTCCATATATACACACAAACACAATGTCAAGTCCCATTACACAACTACAACTATACAATCATTAAAGTATTACATATACACATTATGGTGTTACGGTGTTTCCCTCTGTGTCTTAACTTAGGGTACTCGATTCTAACAGAATAACAACACTACCTAAAAGATTACTCAGATCTCAACACCAGTTGAGAACACTGTGAGCTTATACTTCATATACAGCATACACATTAACATTGTACACATGTACATGTACATATACATTTAGAGGTACATGTACACGTGTATGTATACCGTATAGCTGCTTAATTTCAAGGGTACAATTTTTGCTGTTTTCGCGGATTTTCCATATCCACAAAAGTTAATTTCGTAAAATTATCCATATCACCCTATAAACATGTGTACTTTAAAATAAAAACCACGAAAGTTAAGTCACAAAAAAGACTTGTGGCCTGATTTGCGAAAGTTTATTGCCTCAAAACTTTGTGGCTATACGGTATGTACATATACATTATACATTATACATGTACATGTACATGTACATGTACATGTACATGTACATATATGGTAGTGAGATATTGAGAAAGAGGGGGAGACATAATGACCTTATTAAAATAATAAAAATAATTATTATTATTTCATTAACAAAAATAATGCATGTCCATACAAGGCATACATGTACATGTACGTGATGTTGTCATGGAAACGTCAGGCAGAATCAACCAGTAAAATATTATAACAACAATTACTAGAACTATTATTATTATTATTTTAATTTTCTTAATTTACAAATAATAAAAATAGATTTTTTACAAAATAATTTAATTACTGAATGTAGTGTGACACTGTGCAGGAGTGTGTAGCAATAGACTATGAATATCATTATAGATCAATGAATATCATTATAATCATCACACAGTGTAGCCTCTATATAATGGACACTTTGGGACAAGAAAGTGTCTCTGTTATACAGAGGTGTCCTTTATGTGGAGGTTATTTTATACAGTAAGGAATGTAATTGGTACACTAGGTGCTGTCCGTTAAATGGAGGTGTACGCTATAGAGAGTGTCCATTAGCACTATATTATAATCTATTAAACTCATTATCAAATGAAAGGCTATGAATATCATTACAACACATTATGAATATTATTACCAGCATGAGTCATCCTGACAATTTGCTGACAAGTCACACTAACACAAAAGAATAAAACAAATATAAAATGATCTTTTCCCTAAATGTACAAATATCTATGACTAACTCTGACACTGGCCAATCAGATTACAGCATTCTGCTTTGTCATGTATAATGAATTAGCAGAAACAGCCTACAACTAACTTGAGAATTTAAATCGGGCATGACTCGTGACATCACGCGATGTCACGTGATGTCACTACCATTAAAATCCCAAAAAATTGCAGCGTCATGTATCACTAAAATACAAAAAGCCGTAACATAATTATTATAATTTACTATTCGGAATTTGCTAGCTAATGCATAGTAGCCCATGACGTCGAAAAATGTACTTATATGTATAAATAAAATTATTAGGCGTCCAATCAGATTTCTCTCTTCTTATTGTTTTATCGCTATACGAATAATTGCTATTGCTACACGTAGCTCGCTAATTTTGAGTGACGAATTGGAATGTCTTGTTCTTATTCTAATTTCACAAGAGGAACACGTAGACACATACCTACACATGTACATTGTGTACATGTAATGTGCATGTACATGTACATCTTAATAGCAAGAATAAGATATTTATAATTTTAATTTTATATAATTTTATATTTCGTCTGGAAAAATGTTCGTTCTAAGCAGGATTTGACGTTTTCGTTCTTTTTACTTTCGTTCTGAGCAGCCATTTTGTATCCGTGGCATTGAGAAAACGCCTTTTCCATTTGGAAATATTTGTTCCACAAGGAATGAGAACGAAATTAAACTCTGACAAAATATACCTGCTATAATAGCATACTAAGCATACACATATAAGTGTGACTGAGATAAAAACTCACA